AAAGCTGCGGCTGCCGCAGCTTTTAAGGGGGTGTGCCGCGCCCCCTTAACTTGCCTTCAAGATCCAGAAAGCGCTCCATTGCTGATATGAGTATTGAGCACAGAGCTTCTTCTTGCTACCTTGGAAGTTTGGACCCCCCCCCCCCCCGAACCCCCCACCCATAAGAAAATTATGGCCCTTTCAATATGCCCGTTCAGATCAAAATCAGCCGTCAAATTACGTGTGATTGTAAAGTGCAGTTACAGAAAATCGGGCGTACAGCTCTCAGAAATCTGAAAACTCTCTAGAAGAAGATGATGTCCTCCAGAATGTCACACTTTGAGGTCCAGAGGTTAAGTGGAGGAAGAAGTGGTCGCTTGAGTGCTTTCATGGGAGGGGGGGGGTTTCGAAAGACTTGTGCCTTACCTCTTTCTCAACTCTGGTAACGCTATCTTAGGTATATAGTTCAGGGAGGAGGGGTCTTATTAAGACAGCAATCAGGGGGGGGGTCGTAACCAGCGATCGTGTGCCACACCCCTTGCTCGACCCTGGTTATACTCGATCCACTTGATCGGCTTGATCCATTCCGTCCACTTCATTATTGAAGGCAGCAAAATGGACCCTTCTCGAATTTTGGTGGATTTACGTAGTAGACCCCCAAGTACATTGTAACCCAAACCCCACCTCTCAATTCATGTGCTAAGTCCTGAAAAATGCGCTTCAAGACCCTACCAGCTCCGCCCATTTGCATTTTTCAGCGAATTTTTCAGGACTTAGCACATGAATGGGGAAATGGGGTTTGAGCTATAATGTACTTGGAGGACCTACTGCCTAAATTCATCAAAAAAGGGTCCATTCTCCCAATCCACTTGCTAGTGGCCCCACTAATTTGACTAATAGCGAAGTGGACGAAGTGGATCAAGCGAACCATTGGATCAATTATGGCATGTGTCTAAGTATGCTCATAAGTTAGTGTTTCTTCAAATTATTTTTCTGTCTCAAGTCCACTGCTTTGAGTTTCGTAGTAGGAGCACTTCATGTGATGAATAATTATACAAGTGACTGTAGATTAACTTACTTCGCGGTAGTGTCGTAGCAACTTCGCTGCTAGTCGTAGTTGTGCTGCTGGGAATAGTAGTTTCTGTAGTGGTAGTAGTCGTTGTGGTGGAGGTGGTTGTTGTGGGAGTTGAAGTCGTAGTTTCAGTTGTAGTCGTTGTTTCACTGGTTGTAGTTTCCGCTTCAGTGCTTGAAGATGTGCCTGTCGTCGTTGTTGGTAAGGGCCTTCCAAGTTTTTGTATTTCTGTAGGTTGTATGTGTCAGTTCAGTAGTATTGATGGAGAGAAATAAGCTATACCTGGACAATCCTCTTCACATTTGCTTTTGTTTGTGAAAAAAGAAGTTCCTAAGGAATTTCCAGTACCGTTGTACTCGCATATGAAGATTCTAAAGCAAATTGTTTGCGATTTGAGATAGTGATATTCTTGATTCTAGTGCGAATTTCGATTGATGAAGTGTAGTGCGTGATTCCGAACTCATTCAAGATTAGTGCATACTCACGGTATCGAAGAGTCTCCGGGTGATACAGTGCAGAATTCCTTTTCTGAAATTGAAGAGACTCACAAAAAAGTTGATTTCCAGATATAATTTAGTTCAAGGACTGAAGGTTGGTTTTTGGTGCAAGATAAATCTTATAGAACATTCTTGGCTCTTATGAAAATATGCGAAAGCGTCACAACTGCAAATAAAATTTCAAACCCATGTCTTTTAATTTTGCATAATTCTTCCATACGCAATTATGTGTGATATTGTAAATGTACATTAGATTATATTGGATTATACTAGATTATATTAGTGACGAAGTTCGTCCATTTTCTTATGCCCCTTTAGTTTCCATGTGATTTATTCGTTTTCCGCTAACATAAAGATCCGCCTTTGACATACTTTTACAAGACAGAATATTCACCTTCTATTTACTGTAGGAGTACAATAAGTTTTATAAAAACCTTTTGCCATTTTTGGTCTCTCTCATCGTTGGCAGCGCCTAATATAAAGAATGTCCCTCTGTGCAGGAGTCGCCACCTGTCACAATAGTAAATTGTAATGCGACTTCTCCTTAACTTGTGATGCAGGAGAAAAATGACATGTTCTATGCGTACTCGAGAAAAGAAGCAGAAGAAAGAAGAAAACAAAAATTGAAAAACAGTAAAAAAGAAAATAGACTCTACCGTATGCGTTTAGTGCACGCGATTGCGCTTGGAGCAGCATTGCACCACCATCAAAATTTTCGGATGGTTTTATAAGCGGAGAGTGAAAGTTTGGATCGGTTTTGGGACTTATACGTAGATTTAATAATGAATTGTGTAGCTAGTTCAAAAATTTACGCGGTAAAGAGAAAGATATGGCCATTTTTTCTTGAACGACCCCTTGAAGTGATGCAATGAACATTGTCCCTTTAATCAAGAAATTCATAGAGTCGGAGTGTTCTTTCGCTATTACAAGCTAGCAAAAAAAGTTTAATACCGGGCGACTCTTTTTTCTCTTCGTGTTTCTGAACTTGTTGCTGCCACTTGGCACTGAAACAGTCGGTAAAAATCTACAAGTAAGAGTTCATCAAAATCAAATTCCCAAATTTCCAGGTACAGTCTAGTGCACGAACATGAACTATGATGCTTTATCCACAAAAATTTTACGTCGGAAACAAAAAAAAAGAAGAGGAGTTGCATCGAATGACATTCGAGTTCGTCGGTTGATGTTTTATGAGGCTTTTTTTGTTAAATACATTGGTATCATCAAAAAGCAAATCGAAAATGACTTGATCTAGGAAAGGCAAGCTATAGATGCCAAAAAATTGGATTTTGCAATGTTGCAAAATTGCTTTATTCTACAGCACTCATTACAGTCCAAAACGAAATTTTAGATTATTGGTACGGAATGGTAAAAATTATGGTTCGAAACTAACCTCGGCTATTTCTTAGTGATTGAAGAACCGACTAGTTTACCTTGTTCGCACTGTAAGGATGTCTGTGAGCCGTATACCCCAGTGCGTAAGCACTATATACTTTTTAATAAAGATTATGCAGGTTTATGTGTTCTCCGGCTGAGACCTTTACTTGGTTACAATCCTCATACGGTGGGTAGCCAGTTCACAGTCAGATGTTTCACGAGTCTTTCCATAAATTTTTTTTGCTTTTCAAAATTTACTAGTGTGCGATTACAACACTTTTAAAATCGACCATCTATCAATGACAATCGCTTCTACCTTCGACTTAACTGGATTGGCGGCTGGAAGGCTGGGCTTCTTGACTAAGTTAAGGCTGGAGGAATAATCGAGTTCACGCGCGAGAGAGAAAGACGTAGCCGTCGCGGGCGCGAGCTACCTTGATTAGGTCACAAAGCCTCGCCTTACAGCCGTCAATCCAGTTAAATTAAAGGTTGAGTAACAGAAGAGGCGCCTCCTCAGACTGAGGAGCCCTGCTTCCTCCCCACTTTAAAGAAGCTACTGCCGCTGTTACGTAGTTATCCAGCCTTTGCAATGATATCTGATCATTACTTCTATCTCTGTTTTTCTTATTTAGTGCATATCCAACTTAGCTAACTTTGTACTGCTAAACAAATATGATGACATTGATGTTTTTAGCCCCAGTGAATGCAATTGTGATGTAAGCAGCGTTATCCGATTTGATTCAAAAATTTTGCATCCATGCTTTTACGATTGCAGATGAGTAACTGCATTAGAATGGAACTTGAAAGAAGCATTACTGCTCAATCTTGGCGTGTTTGAGCAGAGTCAAGATGGAGAAAAATTGTTAAAGCTGTCTCTTGCAAACTGGAAAATTTTTTCGCAAACGTTAATTTGCTTCGATAAATGAAGGCAATATCTTCGGAATATTAAATCTACAGCAATTGAACTGTGAAGGTGTAGCTACTTCACTACTCCCCGGACGCTTTTTCGAGTTCAAAGCAAATTAAATGAGATATTTTAGGAAACCTTCTCACTGAGAAGAACAAAAAGAAGAAAAACCTGTTACTTTACTCAAGTCAAAAAACATGAGTCTCATTTTGTGCGTTTAGCAAGTGCACGATTGAGTTCTTGCTTATTCAGCTCCGAATGTTCTGCGAAGAATTAAGTATAAAGAAGAATTGAGTATAGAATTATAGCCAGCTACGAGTAATTTGTCATGCGCATGATGTAAACCGCGAAGTGTCTCCATAAGAAAACCTGTTTTGCATTACCTGTCGTAGCAGTAATAGTACTTGTTATAGTTGTAGAAGGTACAGTAGAAGTTGTTGTAGTCGATTCTGTGGTTGTCGTCGTGGTTGAACCTAAAGATATTTGAATATTAGGAAGAAAGAGTAAAACAATTTTTATTCGCCGCTGCACTAGTTATTTACTAAAATACATTCTTAGTTTCAGCATTTGACTGCCTTAAAATAATGATCTTATGTAGTCCTATGCAAGAAAAAAACGCGTTTCCCTTTGACGTCCGCAAAAGATGGGTATCACAAAGGATGCCAGTTTTTGGGCTAAATTGATAGTGGTTTTAATGAACAAAGTATGTGGCGTAGCTTGACAACAATCCCATTATCAGTTTTTGGGCTAAATTGACAGTGGTTCTAATGAACAAAGTATGTGGCGTAGCTTGACAACAATCCCATTATCGCAAAAAAGTATGAATCTATACAGATATAATGTTAGATCCTTAAGTGTTGTTAGCAGAGTAGACACACTATTTTAGCATCATTCTCATATGAGGCCTTAGAAAAGATTGTGCGATATCCACTGTCAGCCTAGCCGGGCTATCATCTGCCACCCCTATTTATGAGCGTAGTTTTCCACATGGCAAATTTGTTAGGAAATGAAAGCTATTTGACTTTTTAAGAGTGGAAGTGGGCACTAACCTTGACATTTTTCAAGACATTTGTCTCTGAAGAAGTCAAAATATTGCTCTTTTTCGCACCAGTAATACCTGAAACATAATTTTGCTGAAATCAAATTAGCCTAAACCATCTATTTTACGTACCTAGTTTCAAGGAATCTCCACTCTTCGCATTCTGGCACTAAATCTTATATTGTCATTGATTCTTATTTCACTAAGCAATACTAATCACATTTTTCAACTTTTTTAATTCGTTTTTTCACATTATTTGAATTTTTCACTGCATCCACTTTTTTGGCTGGAATTCAAAAGCAAATAATCGCACACTTATGGGAACATAGTTTATGTATGTGATATGTATCGTCTACATAATACAATGAAGCTTGGCTATCCAACGTTGTAAATTGAAAATTTCTTAACTCGAGACTCTCAGGAATACTGCAGCGGGGATTGAAAGACTGAGGATATTATTTTCTTTTTTATTTTGCCCCTTATCAGCGGAGCCCCTTCCGCATGTTGACTGTTGCCTTACAGCTAAGAAGGAAGATGATTGGCAGCCTTTCCAATAAATGAGCGTCAGTTTTTGTTTGCTTGTTAAAAACGGGGTCAGAAAAACTAGGCTTTGTTCATTATGTAATTTATATATTCTGTGACTAGCACACGCCAGTGTGTATCAACTTGCGGAATGTGTTCGTAAGGTAATACTAACAAAAGTCAAACAATTTTTTGAAAAGCTCCAGTTAGCTTACGCTGGCTTTTGATACGCGTCTTTCTTCCGCGGATTTGAATTAGTTTCGTGGAATGAATTCATAGACAGTTTAAGTTTCAATACAAAACAACTATACGTTTTATGGTTCTTACAAAATCAATTTGGGTGCTCTAACGCCCTTCAGAGATAACAAGAGCTTGAAGCTTCAACTTGCTATTTAGCACTGCGTGCGGTACTACTCTTCGCCATTGCACAAACATTCATATTCAGAGTTGCAGTAAAAACAAACGCATTGTTATTTTTCACGAATTGCTCTAAACCTAGAAGGGGGTGGTGTAAAATCACAAAGTTTCTGAAATGCAGCAACCTGCAAGCATTGTACCTGTTTCCAAATCAAATTTAGCACATAATTAATAATTTTTCAAGCATACTCATCAAAATGAAATCGACACAGATTACAAACCAACCTTGTGTCGTACCAGTAACCGTTGATGGTGATGTCGGCGTTGTCTCTAAAACTACGATAACTTAACATTTCAAACCTGCCATGTTATTCATGTTGTTCTAAAGTCGTCATATCATAATTTGATAGTCTATTTCAAAACACATATTCTAATACACCATCATAAAAAAACCTTTTCTGTGAGAGATATATAACACGTAATCATTACTGTTTCGCTAAACTGTTCGTCTCCACTTTGACCTCAAAAAGATTGCTGGAACAGAAGAAGAGAATGAGAGGAAAAATGCTCAAGTCAAAAGATGACTGGACGTTCTTTGCTCCAAGATATTCGTTATCCCACAAGCTCTGATGTTTGTTTGTGTTCTGATGGCTTGTTTCCGCTATTATAGCAAAATATGTGCTAACGTTTTGTGGGTGAAATGAAATCAGCTGTTGATGTAATGTAAAGCTGGTGAAACTTGCAGCTATTCAATGTAAATGCGCACCTGTTGAATTCAACACGTTGGATTGTTTACTATAGATTTTGTGGCAATAATCTCGTAGAAGTAGTGAGAATAATAAGGATAGAAAAATAGTTCAGCACTAACCTTGACATTCCTTGAAACAAAGACTCTCATCCATGTGAACTTTTCTAGTTTTGTAGCATAAGAATAATCTGGAATGAAACCTACTGCGTAAACAAACACATCAAAGCGATATATTCACACTTACGAAGAGCCTTGGTAATTCCATTTCACGCAATCGAACACTAAATTTACTATGTCAATTTAATTTTGAGCAAAACATATAAGTTTTGAGTAACGTGCACTCTCCTATACTTATTTTTTAAAATCAGTCTTTTTTTAATGTGCCCAGTTTTTGCTGGATTGAAGTTTTTGCAACCGCTTGTGTCAGCAAACGCGACATTCTAAGTGAAAGCGTAACAAGCTTACTGTTGCGAGGTCCTTCTAGAAATTCTTACCGCTCTTTTTTTTGGTACCAACTTATTTTTTCTAAGTAGAGAAAAGCAACTCAGATTGAACAAGCCACATCTTATAGGCGCATCTCATCAATCTCTCTATTTTAGTTCACTTCCACAGGTCAAGGGAACGCGCAGAAGTCGGAGTTTTTGCAGGCTACAAAGTTGTCAGAGCTTTCCTTTGCAAACTGCATAATTTCCCTCGCAAACGTCGTTAATTCGCTACGGTAAATAAAAGCTATATCTTCGAAAATCTTGATAAAACAACAAAACTATTAATAATTGCTTTGCGATGAGATATCCGGAAGCTTTTTCGAGTCTGAAGCAAACCATTGAGCTTTTAGTACAAGATATTGCACGTTGAAAGTAGTAAAATTAGCATGAACGGTTGCCTTAGTTCAGGCCTATGAAAAGATGAGTCTCATTTTGTGCGTTTAGCAAGTGCTAGACTGAGTTTTTGATTATATGCTCTGAAAGTTTTACGAGGAACTAAATATTGAATTGTAGCCAGCTCAAAATATTAGTCAAATAGTTTGTTAGTTCGGTATTTCAAGCGTGCCGCCTCGTTGTGTTTCGGAGAACGAGAATTATGCCGCACGATACTTTCTAGCAACATGCGGCACTGTAAATAGTTTTTGATCGCGGAGTCCTTTGGAGTGTCTGTGCTGTTCGATTCAAAAAAAAAATTCCCCGGTCTTATACGCGTGAAATCAGGGTATATTTTCGATAGTCTAAGCTTCGTGATTTGCACTAAAGTGATTTGAGCCTGATTGGTCTTCTCTAGTTTGCAGCGGTGGATTGCGAAATTCTTGACATTTACTTATATGGGTTATAAAAATGTTCAAATGATTGTTTATTTTTGTGAAAAATCAAAATAGTTTCTAAAAATTTTTGAAAATTCAAATTAGCTTTGTAAAAATTTTTTTGGAGTGCTGGCTAACGTCACGCACCTTCATCTGAAAAAATTTTCGCCTCCCCCGGACGGAAATCCTGTGACAGCTACTGCTTGTTTGAGATATTGAAAGCGAAAAACGAAACAAACAAGATTTTAGCTTGCTCTTTCCTTAACTTGGAAGCTATTTGCAGTAGGATTCCTGAGATAAGCAAAAAAGGTTCTTCGTATTAAACGCAAAAAGTGGTAGTCAACTCATCATTAAAACAAAGTTAACATGATCGAAAATGACCACCTCACTTGAGTGGCCCAGTTTGAACTTCATAATTTTCTGAAAGTTGGCCCATAAGGGTTACTTGACATGCTAATTACGAAACGACGCTTTTACGCTTTTGTAGATCTTTTATCATGTTTTGCCGTTTAGGGTATTGGGCCAAAATCAATGTGCTAGTATTTGCAAGATGGACCTATCTTTCATTGTTAAAACCTTGACGAGCCATTTGATGTCTGTCCTTGTGGACAAAAGGGTTTCCCTGCATTTTTACGCGTGCCTGTAGGGAGGCGGTCGATTGATACCCGAACAGCCGCTTGCAGCCGCAGGTGATAATTAGCGAGGAGCGACGCAGGCTTACTTGCGCTGCGCTACGCTGCAGCCCGAATCTCCTGCCATTCACGGGTATATGTCAAGATAAACGATAGCTGGTAACAGTGGCGCGCGGGGTCATGAACTGGCAATAACGTGTTAAGCTCCGCCCTACTGCGGCGGACGATCTAGGACGATACTTATCTCGGACTTTGCATTGGTCCACGATAAATGACTACTGGACCAACTGCTTCCAAGCTTCTAATTATTCTGAATTCTGCTGTTATTCTAGTATTCACTACAATATTGCTGCTATTCTAGTATTCTACACACTGTTTGTCAAGTATTCTCTACATTAATTTGCTGCTTTATTCTCTACAAGATTCCACTCCAGACTACTATTCTTTTTTTATTATTGTTTAATAGTTTATTTAAATTTGTTATTTGCTTCACCAAGTCCTAGATCTAGCAGATTCACGGTGGTAGTCATGTCAAATGAGAACATGAACCCATCAGTGATATGCCAGAAAGCTTGGAAGCATTTTGACGAAGCGATTTTCCTTTCCCATTCCTTATCTCTTCTACTTACTCCTAATTTTTTACTTTTGTATTGTTCTTGCTGTTCATCTTCTACACGTCCCTCGACTGGTCGGTCATTTTGACCGCTCTTCTCCACCCTACCGGACGTCGAACCTCTTGATCCAGGAAGCCCCGGAACAGCAGGATCAAGTATGTTCTACCCCAACAACGACTGTTCACACATCGGAACATTCAACGTGAGACGCCTGCCAAACGAAGACCAACTACATGAACTGCAAGAAGCCCTGAAGAGAACACAACTCGATATGCTGGCCCTAACGAGATGGAGAGAAAGAAGAAGCTTGGCACTTGCAATTGGCAAAGAGTAAGATCACTCACGTTAAAAGAATGGATCAGTTTGTTTGGGTGCCTCATATTGTAATAATATGAAAGGCAAATAAATCATAAATCATTGTTCTTGCAAGGAATAGTGGGATACTGTCAAATAGTTACAAGGTCATCAATGGATTGATGACTGCTATATGACCGAAGCTGATAAGTATAGGGGTGAAGTCGCTCAATTTGACCCCAAAAGCGAAGTGTGATGGTAAAAGGGGGTAAAAGGAACAGTACATCATGCCGGAGGGAGTCCTAAAGAGCACTGACATAGAAAGCTATGGATTAAACACAAAATGAACTAACCAAAACATAACGATTTGCAACCTGATGCTACCAACCAAATTGGACAGCTCTATACAGTTCTTGGCGTCTGCAACGACACGACGTGCCGTTGTTGTATGCCATCACCAGGAAGAAGAATGTGAGGACGTACGAGCTCATTTTTGCACAGCTGAAGGAAGAGATGGAAAGGGTGGGCGGAGCTTCGTGCTGAGGGTGTACGGTAGCCAGCTGGCGGCTGGCACAAGCTATCGTTGATCTTGACTGCCATCGCCATTCACTCACCACAATCTGAGTTGCGAAGAGACCTAGGTCACGCATCACAGTTCTGATGGTGCAGCCAATACAATTGAATTAGAAATAATTGAAATAAGTATTAGGTTGTTGCATAAGTTCTGTCCGATTTGAAATTTTTGACTTCAAAATGTCATAACTTCTTTCAAAGTCAACTTTTTTCCAAGATCTTAGTTTCCGTGTGTTGAGCAATTCCTTGGCTATCAGATGTACATTAGAACCTGCGAAAATCCTTGTTAAGGAAGAAGCAAAAACTTAAAAACTTTACTACGTTTTCCTTCAAACTTGTCTTTTTTGACATGACAATGCTCCCTTAAGAGAATCGGTAGGCATCTCGTCTAACATTAGATAGATAGAGAATTTTTCGTAGATTATTCCACATTATAAGAGCCGATAGGTTCTGCGTTGCCGAGAGATTTTTTTTCCGAAAAAAAAAAATTAGCCGCTTTTTGACCTTGCTTCAGCGCATGTGTGCATGCCTATTTACGAGTTATGAAAGTTTTACAGTTGAAGTGAACGCCGTTAAGGAATTGGTGGATGGGTTCTGCTAGCTCTTGCTTTGTCCTAGCAACTGCAGCTTTGAAGTCGGCAATTACTTCTATTCGCAGAAAGTTATAGCTTGTAAAACATCTCCTCGCAAGAACATATTTCTAGGGTGAGAACGTATCTCGGCCACTTGGAGATTTTAGGCCTGAAATCTCCTTAAACTAAAAAATTTATTGAAATTTGATATGCCTTAGAAAGCGCAAGAAAAGCACTTTCTAATAATACTAACACTATCGCATTAGAGATAAAGTTCTCTTAGAACAGCTGCCTCAAACATAAGGCAAAAAAAATCGGACAGAACTTATGCAACAACCTAATATACTGACATGACAAGTCAGCAAATCAGGTGCCTACTAGCAATCCAAATTTTCAAAACAAAAGTCAAATCTTTTCTTCTTTTCCTACTAATCATCTTGTATTCCAACAATCTTTGAAGATAAGTTGCTTTAACTTTTTTACTGTGGTCAGAATTCTTAACTTAAAACTGAATGTCTTAAAATGTCGTCTTCATCCACAAAATGGACATAGTAGCAATCTTAATTTTTGGATTTTTTGAAATGTTCTAATTTTCATAATAAAGCCAATTCTCTCAAAAGAAATGCTCAGAAGGTTGAAAAAAAGAGCAGAAGAGTTGCATCAAGACGGCCTAAATTGTTATTTTTCACTATTCTACAAAATACTCAAAGCTGATAATTTCTCAGAAATTCGAGTTAAAATCACAAAAAACCGAATTAAATTACGTTCAAGCCTGGATTTGATTTCGAATAGATTATTCGACCATTTTCAGATATTTTCTTTCTCGAAAATCTCATTTCTGAAATGTGTCATTATTCGAAGAATTCGAAAAATTTTGAAAACCATAAGTCAAAGGTCCAATCGTTTAAGTATTTTTAATCATTTTTCTATATCTGTTCGTTTGAATGATTTTAGAAGCCTTTGTTGAATATGTTTCATAAAAACCTATATTCAAGAGAAGTTTTTGGCCATTACGACTGTATAATCCAGGTTCATTTCGCTCCTCACAGCGTGATGGCGAGAGATCGTAACTGAGAGAAAGGTGATAAAGAGGCGGAGGGACTGCCGCATAGCGCAGCGCAATAAGGGTTGCGTCGCACCTCGATAATTACCATAAGGTGCGGCTGCGAGCGGTTGTCCGGGTATCAATTGATACGGACCCCTGGCTGTATGTATGTAAGCATGCATCTATGCGTTAAGAGCAAGATACACAGTAAACGGGGCAACTCGCAGCCCCCTCTTGATAAGTCCCGCCCACTCGGCAAATGCTGGATTCTGCTTGAATTTCGAGAATGCGTGTGAACTGCGACACTTTTGAAAGGTGTGCGGAGCTTGACGGATGGGCGGGACTTGCCTAATAAGGTGGGGCGAACTTGAAGTCGCTTGACTTGAGGTTTCGCGGTCATTTATGGCTTTTTCTATGCGCTTTAAGAACGAAAAAAGCTTCTTGTAGAAGGCAAAGGAGTGGGTGGAGCTCGCCAAAATAGGAGCGAAAGCAACCCAAGATACCTCTTAGCTTGGAATGATCGTCTGAATATAAACTAGAATGATTTGATACCTTAAAATTGGAGAGGTGCCGAGCACCATTGCGCAGGCGTTGTTTAACAACACCATGCTAACAACAAAATCATCTCCATGACCCTGTCAATCTCCTTGATTCCGCAATACGAAACCTGGGCGCGGTATGCCGCAAAACTATGTTTGACCCCTCTTTTTTATGGCGAAGGCTATTCACTTAATTGGCTTCCCTATTTTGACAATACTTCAATCATTTCCATCTCACGGTAAGTGACAGGAATGCATATCATCCGATTTCCCAGATATTTCCTGTGTGGATTTGCATCTGGCAAACCGCCAAATGACGTAACAATTACAATTGTCAAGGCAAGCTCTAGAAAGCGTTATAGCCAGACAATCTTATTTTTATGCATTTCGCACGATGGAACTTCTTATAAGATAACAGCCCAGGTGACTTTTTTAATGCTGCCAAAGAGCAGTGGAAAGCGTTAAAAAAACTGAGTTCAATCAATTTTCTGAGTCAAAGCCGCCTAAACAGATGTATTTTCGATATTATGAATGTATGAAAAAAGTATCAATATCGTCTTCTCTTTACACAGGAAAAAAATTTCCTTTTCTTTATGATTAGTAGTGCCACCTTGAACAGCTGCTTTCGAAAAATGCATTTTCGAACGATAGCCATGGCTAAAGACCCCATTGGTCCGCAGACTCGGCTGCGATTGCAGAATCTTCGAGCGGGGCGGAGCAAAGGCGCGCAACCTAACGTTTTGCGCGCAAGCATTCTCATTCATTTTTGTACATCTATCATTCGGCATTGAGACAAGCCTTGGCTAGAATATAATGTACGCTTCATAACGTAATCTTTCTTTGCTAACCGCGCGTTGTAACTCCTACACTTTTTATTAGGTTGCCCGATAAGTCTTTCATATTTGCATTTTCACCACCATAAGTCAGTTCTAACTGTACTTTTAAAAGGTTGCGAGGTACCATTCTAAGATTGAATCAAACTCTAGAAGATTACGTTTAGAGGCAGTGTGCAGACAAATCTGGGCGCACGACTTTTCTGTCTAGAATTTGATGAGGGGGCCTAAGGGCACTGCTTAAGGTGGAGGCGCAAATTGATTATTCACGGCTGAGAAATCCATCCCCAAACCCTTCGCGTCTGCGTCTTGACCGTAAAACGAAAATGGTTTCGCTCACATTCCTTCGTGCTGGAACCATCCTAGATCATTCGTGGAGTTGGAACGGATTTTCAATCGTAAGTGAATTATATGCGCTGCCGCGACCAACGCCTAATTTAGGAACCCCTCTTCAGTTTCCAGGTGGAAATCCATGGGCCCAGATTTGCCCACCTCACAATTCATGTGCCCACCCCACCTCCCAATTCATGTGCTAAGTCCTGATAAATGCGCTTCAAACTCCACCAGCCCCTCCCATTTGCATTTTTTAGCGCATTTTTCAAGACTTAGCACATAAATTGGGAGGTGGGGTTTGGGCTACAATGTACTTGGAGGATCCACTACCTAAATTCATCAAAAAAGAGGTCCATTCTCCCAATCCACTTGCTAGTGGCCCCACTAATTTGACTAATAGCGAAGTGGACGAAGTGGATCAAGCGGACCATTGGATCATTTATGGCGTGTGTCAATTGCTCAATAGCAAAGCGAATGTCCACTTAATCCACTCCATTCACTTTGCTTGTGGCCATTTCACTAATTTGACTGATAGCGAAGTGAATCAAGTGAATCAAGCGGATTAACTGGATCGATTATGGCATGTGATTAAGTTTGCTCATAAGTTAGTGTTGCTTCAGATCATTTTTCTGCCTCAAGTCTACTGTTTCTTTGAGATTTGTAGTAGGAGCGCATCACGTGATGAATAATTATACAAATGACTAGAAGTAGATTAACTTACTTCGCGGTGGTGTCGTAGCAACTTCGCTGCTAGTCGTAGTTGTGCTGCTGGGAATAGTAGTTTCTGTAGTGGTAGTAGTCGTTGTGGTGGAGGTGGTTGTTGTGGGAGTTGAAGTCGTAGTTTCAGTTGTAGTCGTTGTTTCACTGGTTGTAGTTTCCGCTTCAGTGCTTGAAGTTGTGGCTGTCGTCGTCGTTGATAAGGGCCTTCCAAGTTTTTGTATTTCTGTAGGTTGTATGTGACAGTTCAGTAGCATTGATGGAAGAGAAATAAGCTTACTTTGACAATCCTTTCGACATTTGCTTTTGCTCGTGAAAAAAGAAACCCCTGCCGAATTTCTATAACCGTAGTACTTGCATGTAAAGATTCTAAAGCAAAATGTTTGGGATTTAGGGCAGGAGTACCCATAATTTTGGTGCGAATCGACATGATATGCAGTTTGTGATTAACACCCGAACCTACTCAAAGCTAATGTCACTCACTGTATTCCTGGCGAAAATTCTCCGGGTTGTTTGGCGCAAAATTCTTCTTCTGAAATTGAAGCCAAATCAGAAATAAATTAGGAAAAAATAAATTGGATTTTTTGTGTGTATTTTATTTCACCAACAAAGACAATTTGTTGGTGAACATAAAATCTTTCAAAGTTCTTCATCGCCGTCAAGCGTGACTTCGCGCCGAATTGATGCATGTGTAGGAATTTCAGACAGTAGCTGTTGTTTCGCACTCTCTTTTGAATCAATGTTCTCAAACTACACCCGCGGTATTCGAAATTTTTTAGTTTGACTTCACACCGAAACAACTATGAACAACTTTCCAATTCACAGATTGCAGGTATCATTTGATAGAGCAGAAAAGCTCTAAAAGATGGTGTTGTAAATGTTCGCACCAGCGTCAATTCACCTCAATTTTGCAGCAAAGAACTAACAAGTTGTGAATTCCGAAAATTGAAACCTATATTTTTGCCTAAAATATTCAACGGTTTTCTTACTCGCCCATCAACTCCCGTCGAAAAAATTGCATGGACAATTTGCTAGCAAGGGAAAAGTAATCATTGGCTATAGTAGCTTCACTGGAATCTTACAAGGAGTGCATTTCTGGCCGGAATGGTTCTAATGGTCTTTTCAGACGAAAAGAAGTCTACTATGCTCCTCCTGACGACAAGTGTTTTTGGAAGGCGTAAGTAGACCAAAATTATTCGAAACCGCACAAATGATCGAGTTCCGAGGCATTTCAAGACTTTCTCTCTATAATACTCACACTTACTACTCTAGAGCCAAAGGTGGGGAATGACTAAATTCATGTAGATCGTACTCCCATTTCTCGTTAAGAAACACTCATAACTTGTCGTCCAGAGGTGCCCAGCAGCTACTAAATAGAGTTTTGTGGTCAGCGTTTCATTCTCTGCAAAACGGTTTAAGCTCTTCCGGGAAGCCCATTTCGACCAAAAACTCATTCCTTTCACTAAACATTTTGAACCCTCCTCAAGTCGCGTCATATGTCAGATGTCGTAAAGCAGAACCGCAGCGTTTTGAGCACAGTATGTATTACAGGGTGTCTCAAAAAAATGTGAACTCTGTTTAATCGTTGATAACTCCCTTTCTTTCAGGTTTTTCGTCGAGCTTGCGGTATCATTCCGTAAAGTAAGGTTCAACTTAGATTTACAGTTTGGACCGAGTCATCAATCACTCTTTATTGCTTTAGGATTACAGGATGAACTTTGAGAAGAATCTTAGAAATGTAAAAACGGTTTCTGCCTCGTAAAAAAACCAAATGAGCCAAAAACTCTTCCACTGAACTAGTCAAAGTTGGGGATTCTAGTTATAAAATTTGCAGTTCACTGTAATGCGTCTCTCATATGTCATTCCAATTTAGGGTAACAACTGTTTTTCCAATGTTCAGAAATGTACATTATTGAAAGAGCTCAAAGAACTGGTAAAAGATTGTGTATTCTAATAGCACACTTAAAAAACCTTTCTACACAAAGTTCCAAATTTTTACGATTTTTGCATAAAATGGCCTATTCGATAATAGCGCTTTATATTGAAAGTTCGTGCCGTATTCCTACAGTAATACAGAGTGATTGATAATTCTGTTCATACTGTAAATCTAAGTTAGACCGCGCCTTACAGAATGATACCCCAAGCTTGGTGAAAGACATGAGAGCAAGAGAGTTATTAACGATCAAACAGTTCTCACACCTTTTTGGGACAAACTGTATGACAATCAACGAAGTTTGCACAAATTCCAAGTTTCCTCTCGTTTTTTGTTCCTGAAAATTGTCATTGGTTGGCTCGAAGGCACTGTCCAAGTTGGTGATCGACTTCCATGTCTGCCGTTCTCGAGCCTTTTCATGGCTCTGATCTCAGATATAGAGTTCAAAAAACGTCAAATTGAAAAGATTCGTTTTTAGCCGTTTTCAAAAAACGCAAACAAGTACTCCAAAGTTTGTTGCAATGTGAGCAAAGTGAAATCTCGCCGAATAAAAAAAAGGGACAAAGGCTGCATTAACCCTGCCGAGAAGGGGATCGCAGCTCAAAAGAAAGCTTCATATCTAAAACTTCGGATATCTGGATTTCAAGCGTTCTACCTATCCGCAAGTGTTCTCACTATTATTTATCACTATGAACTTATTGAACAAGAGCGAAAAGTAGTATAGAAGCATTTTACAGTTTTTCGTATGATCCCTTGGCGATCCCCGACGGCCGACCTTTCTTCAAAGTCATTCTTATTTCTTCAGAGTTAACGAAAACCTTTCAAAGCTATATTGATTATCTAACTGACAGTGCTAAGCATGTTGTTAATGAAAACAAATAAATTTTAAGAATGTTTTTTTCTATAAACCCCAACTTTCATTCTGTGGTTCATCGCAAACTTTATGATTCCAATGCATTATTTCTTGACAGCAATAGCTTATCACTGATGGGTCAGTTAATCAGAACAACTTTGGGACGTTTTTATCGCAATTGGAGGGAGAAAAATGACTCTGAAGGAACGGTTAGCCTCAAGGGATCACCAGGGGATCATACAATGTTGGAAAGTGCGACTTGTACATCTTCCTGCTCCTGTTCAATATGTACTTAGAGGATGGTGGGAATGCTCACGGATAGCTAGACAGCGTGAATTTCAGATTTCCGGCATGCTGTCCAAAGTGGTATACTACTTTCCTACTTATTTATCGCATAGCAAGGAGGATTAACCGAATAGAGGGCGCAAGGGTTAGTTTATCTGTAAAGGCATGACCGGGAAGCGTTGAACCTTGGCAATACCTCTTAAGGCAGCAGGCAAAAGAGGTGGGGTGGGGAGACTATGCTTTTCACGTAGTACGGTAGCAGGCTAACCAACTAAGCATAAGATATCATTCAAGTGCAATGTCATGATTTGGCATATAAAGCAAAAAATCACTCTGAAAGTGGTCCTCCGCCAGCTTTGTTCCTTCGTCCACCTTCACGTTGCATCTGTAGGATACATCCGACTGCGATACATATGTTCAAATAGCACCGCGAAAAACTAGAGTTTGTCAAGATAAGGTCATTAAAGCAGGGTTTTTAAAATTTCACGTAATTTGAGATTTAGATATGATATCAAGACCGTAGATAAGCTCGAGAGCAACAAAAACGTACGAATTGAAAATTTGCCTGGATTGCCTGCAAGATCACTTTCTAACACTTTCCTTGGTATTTGAATGGCCGATTGAAGTAAGCAGCTGAGAATTACAAAAGATGGTGACTTTAAGGTAAATGTGTTTTTCTTTACCGCTTTGTTGATTTGAGTTTGACTTGCTAACTCTATCTTCGAGATATTCCGTATTTTTCAAGATTATCAACATGTTGGAATTTTGACGTACCACTGCATACGTCTTCACATTTGTCTCGATACTGGACATCGTAACTGATGCTCCTGTTGCGCACGCAGGTAAGCTTGTAGCTATTGTTAGCACGGTCGAGTCGGCAGAGTTTTGGACGACCTTAAGTGAAACGATGAAAGGAAAAGGAACATGTAGAGTATTCTAAACAAGATGTTCTATGTGAGCGATTGCATGTCGTTTCTAACAGCTTTCAGTGCAGCAGGCCCTGCCCGTCCCAAGGAAAGTCTTGCTCAAAAAACACTCTGTTTTTTCTCAGTCTCCTCAAAAAACCAATTTTCCTTCTAACATTAACGTACGAAGCAATATCCTGATATTCCACAATTGGCAACAAAACTGTGCAAAAAACATCTTTTCTATGAGCAAAAATGAGCAGAAGCAAAAAAGGCTTCTTTACGCCTTTTGAAAACTCTTAATTTGGAAGCTGAAAACTCGGATTAAGTCGCTTTTCATTATGATAGATACATTTCCATAGCATGGTTACCTCTTCATAATGACATACGCATTTTGTTGCAAATCAAGCGAAGAAGTGAATGAGCAACCGTAAATGCTATGAACTCATTTAACAATTTAAATCTTTCTGAAATTAAGGATACACTATGATGCATGCATATTATGACGATTAGCCATCTTGTGATTTCGACCTTTCATTGTTCATAAGGGTTTTCAATTAGTTTTAACGATTTCTTAGTCCAAAAAGGAAGGATTGTTTGACATTTTTGCAAGCGCTTGGAAACGATTTTGATCACATGTTACCATAAAAATACAGTGCATCGCGAAATGTGATTGCCAGATGTTACTTCTATGAAACCCATTTAAGATGAGATAGCAAAAACAGAGGATATGAGGGGATGATTTGTTTACTTTAAATTATTAGACAAAAATTGGAATATCGATAATTTTATTTGCCAGAAAAAGATCAAGTGAAAATGTTTGAAAAAAGAAGGTTCTACCTTTGCAGTAATCCACGCACATAGACACCTTTAGGAAGTGCTTGCCATCGCGCTTGCAGGCATATCTTGTCGAGTTGTTGTTCTTGGCCTTCCTCTTTTTGCAAAGTTTCAGGTCTTTTTTACTAATATAAGTTTTACTGGTGGTCGCTTCAGTGCTGTCACTTGTAGATCCGCTACTCTCAGAAGATGATAATCCCGCAGTGCTTCCCTCAGACGAAGTTGGCGTTGTGACTGTCGTCGTCCATGGTAAGGGCCTTCCACGTTTTTGTATTTCTGTAGTGTTGTATCTGGCAATTTAGAAGTATTGGTGGAAAAGGATAAGTTACACCTGGACATTCATTTCGACATTCGTCTTCGTTCGTGAAGAAGAAACTCCCTTGCGAATTCATATATCCGTAGTAATCGCATATGAAAATTCTAAAGCAAATCGTTTAGGCATTCAAAGTGGTATTCATGGTTTTAGTGCAAATTTCGATTAACGACATGCATGCGTGATTAAGGTGGAACTCATTGATGGTTAGTGCATACTCACGGTTTCGAAGAGTTTCCGCGTGGTTTAGCGCAAAATTCTTTCTCTGAAATTGAAGCGATTAACAAAGGAGTTGATTTTCTATGTATATAACAGAAAGAAGGGGTACGAACAGTAATGGAGAAAGACTTGTATGTCTTCTACTTATGGGAAGTATCTGAGCTCAATTTTTTGCACACAACCGGTTTCGGGGCTAAGAAGTATACCGGTGGTGTAGTTTTCTTGCTGCCTCTCATCAGTACTTCGCAAGAAAACTTTCAAACGAATAAGGTGAAGGGAGAAAAAATACAATATAAGTCCACATTGGAATGTGTGAGCCTATATGGGAAGAGAAGTGTTAAAAATATAGAGGAATTAAGAGTCCGTGTAGCAGTCTACAATAAAAGTGTACGTTATGTGATTGTAGTATAATTCATTTCAAGAACTGAAGCATTTTTGGTACAAGATAAATCTTTTAAAACATTTTTGGCTTTCAAGAAAACACTCGAAATCTGCGTCATGCCTACGAAGGAATTTTCAAACCGTATGCTGCTGTCTTTCATCTTTTAATTTTTCCATGCGCAATTATGCGTGTTTCATATAATAAATAGTAATCCAATATAATCTGATACATAGTAAAGGTATTTTAGATTATACTGGGAATATTAGATTATATTGGCGACGAATTATCGCCCATTTGCTTATGCCCCTTTAGTTTCCATGTCATTCATTGGTTTTTCGCTAACATAATGATCCAGCTTTAACTCACTTTTACAAAACAGAACATTCACCTTCTATTTACTGTAGAAGTACGGTAACTTTTATAAAAACCTTTGGCCATTTTTGGTCCCTCTCACCGTTGGCAGCGCCTAATATAAAGAATGTCCCTCTATGCAGGAGTCGGTACCTGTCACACTAGTAAATTGTAATGCGACTTCTCCTTAACTTGTGAATTTGCAGGGAAAAAATTACGATTTGTCCTATGCAAACTCAGGAGTGGCAGAAGAAAGAAGACAATAATTGAAAAACAGTAAAAGTTAAACAATCAAGCTCGTACTGTATGTGGCACCAACTACGTTTAGTGCACATAATTGCTCTTGGAGCAGCACTGCACCACCATGATATTTTTTAGATGCTTTTATAAACGGAGAGTAGAGATTTGGAACGGTTTTGAAACTACTATGTAGATTTAGTAGTTGAATTGTGAAACAAGTTCCAAAAATCATACGAAAGAAAAGAGAAAAATATAACTAATCTTTTTTGAGCGACCAAAGTAATGCAAGGCACATAGTCCCGGTAAACAAAAAGTTTATAGGGTCGGAGTGTTCCTTTGCTTTTACAAATTAGCAGAAAAAAACAGGTAAAACATAAGTAGGCCAAAGTTTTGAATACTGGTCGATGCTTCTCTTTTAGCAATCGTGTTTCTGAACTGTTGCTGCCACTTGGCAGTGAAACAGTCGGTAAAAATCTACAAGTAAGCGTTCATGAATATCAAAATCCTAATTTTCCGGATACAACCCAGTGCGCGAAAATGAATTTTGATATTTTTATTCACTAAGACTTTAGTCGGAAACAAAAAAGGTCTGTGAAAAAGAAGTTTTGAATGACATTCGAGTACGCAAGTTGATGTTTTATGAGATATGTTTTGTAAGTACGGAATTGGCAACATCGAAAAGTAAACTGAAAATGATTTGATCTATGAAAAAGCAAGCTATAAATGCCAAATGCATTTTGCACTCCATTCTATTATACTCCTTATTACAGACCAAAACGATAATTTTAGAATATTGGAATCGTGAGGCATGGTAAGAAATATGGTTCGAAACTAATTCGGCTAATTTCAAGCGATTGAAGAACCAACTAGTCTGCCTTGTTCGTACTGCAAGATGTTTGCGAGCCGTATAACCCAGTGCGTAAGCACTATATATTAGGTCGGTGCAAAAGTTTTGTCAGTTTTTTCAATCCATCTGCAATCACGCTAGAATGAAGATAAACAAGATAACAGACCTTAAAATGTATCCGATGCAGAATTTCTCCCTCTTTCCAGCTTGTAAATTCCCATTGTGTTTCGTTGCGAGAGTGACGAGATATTTGCTGCAGATTACAACCACTCGTTTTTACCAGGTCCAACTTTCGCTAATTTTCAAAATTTTTGTATGAGACTTTCGAAGTAGCCCCTGATAGCCAGCAGATAGGGCTAACCTTTTGCCAACTTATGCAATTTTTTCTTTTTATCAGCTGCTTTTCCAGATTTTTGCTAAGTAATTTTCTAAAAGTCTTGCGTTTTGGAAAAATTGCATAACCTGTTCTTGCACCAAACACTGCAAAACCTACAGAAAACTGAGGTTTCAGCACATGATTATTTCTACCGCTACCATTACACAGTAAATGAGCGATTTTCGCTTCAAATCATGAAGATTCTGAAACCTAGGTTACGCCTGTGCGCACTCCTGAAATTGAGAAATACTGCGATTTTCCCCACAGATTTCGCCTGTCTCGGCAAAAAAAGACAAGAAAGAAAGAGGAGAAAAATCTGCATCGAATGGTAACTAAAGTGTTTAACATTTTATGTTCTACGAGATCAAAATAGGCTGAATGTATAACTTGGTCACTTCAAAAAATAAATCGCAGAAATTCTGAAAGACAAGCTGTAGGGCTACAAAAATTGCATAAGTTGGCAAAAGGTTAGCCCTATCTGCTGGTTATTAGGGCTCTTTTGAAAGTCTCATACAAAAATTTTGAAAATTAGCGAAATTCGGACATGGTAAAAACGAGTGGTTGTAATTTGCAGCAAATATCTCGTCACTCTCGCAACGAAACGCAGTGAGAATACAGCATCTGGAAAGAGAAAGAAATTCTGCATCGGATACATTTGGAAGTCTTTGTTTAGCTTTATTCTAGCGTGATTGCCGATGGAATGAAAAAACTGACAAAACTTTTGCACCGACCTAATATTTTTTAATAAAAATTATGCAGGTTCATGTGTTCTCCGGCTGAGACCTTTGTTTGGCTGCGTTAGGCATACGGTGGGTAGCCCAGTTTACTCTCAGTGTTTTCTCGAGTCTTTCCAAAAGTTTTTTGTTTTTCGACATTCACTAGTGTGCAGAACAACATCTTCAATTCGGTTACTCATCAAAAGCAATCGCTTCTACTTTTTGATTTAAATGAGTTGGCGGCAAGAAGGCGGGGCTTTGTGACTTATTAAAAACAAGGAATGATCAGAGGCCACGCGCGAGAGAGACGCAGACTGTGTCGCAAGCGCGGGCGGATTAGTTTACAAAGCCCCGCCTTACAGCTGCCAATTCAATTGAATCAAAGGTAATATAACAGAAGAAGCGCCTTCTCAAATTGTGGAACAACGCCGCTTCTCAAATCACTGTATATCAAAGCCAAAACAAGAGGTCTTATTGATTTCGCTCTGCTCAAGGACACAGTCCATTTGTAACTCATAGCATTACTGTTGCGTAATGGGTAACGGAGCTACTGGTCCAGTGCATGTGGATGATGGAGCAACTGCTTATGTGCTGAGGTAAAAGGCTTTTTACCGTTACTATACTAATTTAGTCTACCAGATGGATATTTCAATGTTTCAAGCAAACAACGACTAGATAAAAGTTCAACTTACTACTGCATTTTTCTTCGCATAAGTCTTCATCTTCAAAACTGTTTTTCGCGTCCCTTCGATCGCGTAAACAAACGTACTTGGCGATATTGTTTCTATAATCCCAAATGCAGAGCTTCGGACGGCCTTAAGTAAAATAATCAACAAATAACTTTCTTGTTCTCACTCAGACCTTTACAGATTGAGTGAGAACAAGAAAATACTTAAATTATTACTCGCTCACTATCTCCGTAATTTACAATTTATTCCCTTTGGACCACTCCAACATGGTGTTTTCGCAATTTCGCTTCAATCTTACGATATCAAAATGTATTTCTAAGACATAAGACTTGTTAAGTTGTAGGAATCTCGAAGACAGCGAACGCGCTATAGATGTAAAAACTCTATCCCATTCGGATATCGTGTAATGTATACCACAGTGAAAACACGTACATGAATATTTGTTCACCTCCTTGAAGCTCAATACACCTGCTAAGACGGTCCTCGTACGCCTTACCCCGCTCCCGTAAAAGGTTGGTTTTAGAGTCGCTCTTTCACGCGGTCTTGACTTCTTCACTGCTTAAAACTCTTTTTCAGCCAGGTGAGAATTGAAGTTTCTAGGTAGAAAAAAGCCGATGGGAGCCAAATTTGGAGGACGGGGGGGGGGGAGAAGAAGGATCAATATGTAGCCCGCTTATTTTGCCATTTCTACGCAGGACTTACGTGCTGGCGCGGCGTTTTGATAAAGGAAGACTTTTTCTTGTAGAGCGCAGTTTTTTGGAGGGGTTCTTAAGAAGACGATCCAAAAGTTTGGCATAGTACAATTGATCGTTTTGCCTGTTTCAAAGTAGTCGATCATCAGAATCCCCCTTCCCCCCGAACCCAAAAAAAACGATAATTAGAAGCTTTCGAGTAAGGTTTTCTTTCCTGACTTCGGTGAATAGCTGCGCAACTCTGGCAGTCCAACTTCGTAACGCCTCTTTAATCTCGAGACTGTAGTGGTGAATCCATGTTTTTTACTCTCATAGCATCTAAAACTCCTCACAAGGGAGCTAGACATTGGGCCAATCCAGAAGAGCTACATACCGTTAGATGCAACATGAAACGCTGACTTCGATTCTTTATTTCAAATCTGCTTAACGCCTATGTGGGCGAAGTTATGAACAGTTAAAGCTCATCATTTTCCTAATAAACTGTGGACCTAAAGCGCAAGTCTGGCGTACAGAGCCATGTTTGGGGCCTAATCTCGCGCTAG